TTCTGTGCTGTGCCTTTCAGAGGCACAAAACAGCTCAACCTGGGAAAAAGGAACAGCATGCAACGCAGTACTGAACATCCCATTCATCAGTACTGTATCATCATAGTGCTGGACAGTGCAAGTATTAACTGACACATTTCTAATGAGCAAAGTAGAACAGATAATACAGTAGCTATGCCAGCCATAGCAAACAAAACATATATAATCCAGCATGAAGTTCAATCTTACTAGCTCTAACATCTGACCTGGCATATTAGAGCAAATTATTAAAAAGTATACAAAGACATCAGCAAAATTTTACTCCCATTCAGAGCTTTTGCATTAAAAACCCCCCAATGTGAGGTGTTACTACATACAGTTCGATTTTATCAGCTACTATACCTAACAGCTTCATCTTTGCATTTAAAATACAAATCACTTCTCCCAGTAGGACACCTGCTTATGTTTTCTTTAAAGAAAACATTTTTTTTGCACTTTTGCATCAAAGAAAAACAATTTTCTGTCCCTCTTAAGCTACAGCTTTCACACTGTTTCACATTCTTCTCTAAAGTTCACTTCAGAGTGTTCACACCACTCAAACCTCACCCCTGAAGGAGTACACCATCTCTTACAAACCAGGCTGTATTTTCTAAAAATATTCCCTCAGAATTTAATACAGCCTTTGTGGAAAGTTTTCAAGAGACTATGCAAGACTTCTGTAAAAAAAACAACAATAAAAAAAGTGGAAAAGAATATTCAAAATAATTCACATATTACAACACTATCTTTTATATTACAGACTGACAACTCATGGAATTTATCTTCTGTTAATATTGTCTCAATTATTTATAGAAACACTAGTGTAGGAAAAGAAATCTTGTAACTGTAACTACACAGCATGGCACAGTGTTTCTTTTTACAAAGATGTCTCAAAAAATCAAAATAAGCCATCATCAGCTTGACTGAAACATCTTTTTTCTAAAATCAAGTACATAGTAACAAGGAATGGATCTGGTTAAGGGTAACATGGCTGGTAGCACCAAGGCATAGTTTTGATAACCTCCTTCTTCCACCTAGTGGCAAGAAGCATAAAAACCAAGGTCTTTGGGAGCGCAGCCTTAAGATGCTTTCAAACAGCAACTCTGTAAAGATTCATGATATTATGAGGACTGAGTTTTGTAGTATTCTGGTTTTCCTTTTCTGTTCACAAGTAATAAACACACTATCACAAGGACCTTGGAAATGCACTTACGAGGTAGAATTGTTGAAAGAAACTTAAATTCTCTTTACAGGTGTATTTTTCAGTCATGAAGCTCAGCATTTTTGTTTTCCAGGTTATCCAGTCTGATCACCTTCTAAGAGGTTGTAACTATCCAAATCTGTGTTCTGCCTCAACTTCTCAAGTATATGCAGCAGAACTGCTCAGCGTTTCATTAAACTTAGTAAATCAAATAACACAATAATCTAAACTAGGACAGCTAATTCTATTTTCCTATAGATGAGGGGATGGTTGTAGCAGAATATAAGAACTAATTAAAAGTTTCTGCTGAATTATGAGGCCAAAGTGGAAAAAACACGCCTATTAATATTGAGCACTATGTAATCAATATAAAAATATCCATTATTTCAATTGGAATTTTAAGAGCAGTATTTTCCAGCTCACATACTGCTTCTCTTTAGGATCAACATTCTCATAACAGATGCCTGGTATCTGTTAGCAGCAGGACTAAGATGGCTCCCCATGCATTTATATTTTATACATACACTCTGTCTCCTAAATTTCTTACCTTACAGTAACACTAGGGCAAAGGTCTATGAAATCTAATCTCATCTCTGTGACAGCACTTCATATCCCTTAAGTACCACACATTTCCTAGCTTCCTAATCAAAGTCTAAAGGTAAGAAATTATATGTACTACAGCTGAAGTTAAGCATGCACCAACTGCTTCAAGTATTGGGCACTAGAACTACAGGATAAGGGCAAAGAGATGATCTCTCTTTTTCCTCAATTTGAGGTGCTATAGTGAAGAACTGCCTCCAGCTGTTCATGTCTACACATTTTGCAAGAATCCGTTTTTTTTTGAGGTCGTCTGTTCCTCTGATTCAACTGAAATTGGCTAGTGGATTTAAAAACTGTTGTGGTAGTGGGAGAAAAGGCAATGAGAACATTGCCTAAAGGGCAGAAAAGCAGTGATAACTCAGCCTTATCTGGCTAAATATGGTAAAATAATTAGAAATTGCCACAACATTGCCATTTTCACGTCACACATTTAAGGTTATCTGAAGCCTTTGCAGAACTAAAAAAGAAAAAAAAAAAATCAAATACTGTGCACTCCCCAGTGGGTATTTCCACATTTCCAAAGTAATAAAATTCTTGCATCCTAGACCCAGTATGTCACATGATATAGCTGGCACAAGGCCAGATATTATCCACAGGAAACATTTGAGACTTTTTTTTTTTTTTTTTTTAAGAGTGCAATGGATAAGAAGTGCTCACAGAGTTGAAGTGTTTAAGTAGATTTCAAAGCAAAATGGATTTGTGGATTGAGTGCTTGCATGATCTGTGCTTTCTATCATGCAGCTCTGCATTTCATCAAATTGATATCCTACAGAAAGTATATGGAGTGTGGCAATTCAGACAATTTATCTGTATTATTCTTGATAAAAGTTTCACATGCAAAAACAACACAATGCTGAATTCCTATACACACACACACATATATATGCATGTATATACACACATACACTGAGTTAGACTGGATTGAATCACATTCCTTCTATACCAGGATTAATAATTAATGAACATGTACTTGATCAGAACCCATGAACAAGAGAGTTTGTCTTTTCCTCACGTCATCAAAAAAAAGAGGCAATTCAGGAAAGACAGGCCACAACTGGACTCCACCATGTAAAACAAGGCCTAGTTAAAAGCAGATCAGAGCAAGTAAGCTACAAACTAGCTAGTCATCTCAATGAACATTGACACCCATCCCCACAAGGTCCTGAGGGCTTTAAGTGATGCTGGCAAGCACTGTATTGTCCATTGATAAGCCATGAATTCACTACTGTGTGCCAAGCCACTGTGCATCCAACATATGCCTTACATACAGAGTCCGCCCTACAGTAAATTTCTACCAAGGGACTAATTTAACTTTAAACCTTTAGAAACCAGTCAGTGCACAGCTTCCAACTCTGCAGTCCATGAATCCATACGGAAACCCTGATGAATGCCAGCACTTACAGTTCAGAATCTTAAAGCCTAGAAACATACAAATGAACCAGCTGACAGCAGTGTGCAGTAGCATGTGCCTTGAATAAAGTCTGTATGATAATTCCCATTTTCAGAAGCATCTAGCATTACATTTTGTACCGCAGAGACAATTATTTTACTTCAAATTACTTATTTAGAGAAAGTAATCTATTTCCCTCAAAGTTTATAATTTGCATCCGAAGTCAAATCTGAAGCAGTCAGTTTGAAGCAAGAATGAATATGAGATGAAGGCTCTAAATAAATAATTTGATTTACTGTCCTTTACATACAAAAATATCATTCATCACGTGAAAACAACCTTTGTGAGAAATACAGTATACTTATTTTGAACCTCTGCACACACTGTTTTGACACTGTTTAAAACAAAGTCTAAAGGTTTAGTGAATTTTTTTTTGCTTTTGACTGAAATTTCAAGAGCAGCTTTGAGATGTCAGCATCTAAAGATGGTTTTAATCAACATTTATTGGATTATTCAATATTTCAGACTGATGTAATTCTTTAGAAAACTGTACATGGATTGCAGGTAGAAAAGCAGCCAAACAACTGAATGTACAATACTTACAATTCTCAACAGATGGCACTTTATAGCAAGGAATCTATAATGTCTAATTAAGAAAGAGCAAAAACAATTGGCTGAGTACACTGACATGCCAAAGCCTGCATCTGAAAAAGCCTACTATCCTTAAATATGAAAATATAGTGCTGTAAAACTGGAAGTACAAAGAGGGAATCTAAAGCCAGACAAAAACTCTGAAGTAGCATTCCAGCTCAGATATTAATCACGCTGAGATCTTCTTCACAAAAGCAGGATATTCCCATCTTTTCTTCTCATGCAGAATTTACACGTAGAGTTAAAGACAGCAAAGAAAACATGAACATCAGGCTTGGTTATTACTGCATACAAGCTCAGAAGAGAATGTAGAATCCTTTTAGTAATATGACTTAGAGTGCAGTCTTGTGCAAAACTTCACAGCCATTTTGATGTCTAAAGCTACAAAGGTTTTTAGAACCATTTACAAGCTAAACAAACATAAAAGGCCTCTGAGCTTTGCTGCCTCTGAGTTACAACCCAAGTTACGCTTTTAAATTGTCCGTCAGTATTATATGAGTGGAAGATGCTTACTAATTAGAGTCACAAAAGGCAAACTGAGAATGGCAAACTGCAAATGACAACATTTAAAGAAATCCATGGGGAGGTAACAGTTATCTTCAGTTATCAAATAGGTAGTTATAAAGTCACTCTTCTTGGAGATGCATAGAGAGAGGACAAAAGGCAATGGACAGAAGCTGCCGCTAAGATAGGTTTTCATAACAGGACTAGTTGAGGCTACCCTGAGCATCTGAAACTCCATCTTTGGAGTTATTCATAACTTGACAAAGCCCTGAGTAAATTCTTCTAGCTTCAACAATAGCCCTGCTTTGAGCAGGAGGTTAGACTGCAAGAACACCAGTCCATTCTAGGAACTTGTAAGATTCTAAATTATTCAGTAGAAAATGCTACACAAAAGGATGAGACCCAACATCACATCCTCGGGACATAATTTCCAAAGGATAATCCCTCAATTATGACTAAGCCATATTCTCTCAGACTCCCAAAACAATCTTCACAAAACTAGAGATATGACCACCTTTGACCCTGTGACGATTACATTCCAGCAGGATGCAGCAAGTCCTCTTTCTAGTAAAGGACTAAGGACCACGTCTTGGCCTGAATCCTCATTCTGAAAAAAATCAAACTTGTCTGGTTTAGAAGTCACCTGTTTTTCAGATGTAGGATCTGGTTAGTGGATAAGCTTCCTATTTTCTAAGTTAATTTATATAGGATCAAGTCAGCAGCCACAATCAAGTAGCACTTACTATGCTAGACAAAAAAGAACATCTCATTTGTAAATCCTGTGAGATTTTACAGATTAGATGTTACCATCTAAGTACGTAGTACTGTTAAAAATATTCATGCCTATATGTAGAAAATGTATACACATACAATTAGACTATTTCCAATGTTAGGTGCCATGAAAACAAAATTCTTGTATGTCTGAGCTGAATCCTTAAAGTGATATGACAAGGTCTTGGAACAAACAATTTTTTGTAGGCACATGACTATATCAAAAGGTTTTACTGAATATTATTTGTCACAGAAACTTTTCCTAAAATACATAGAACTTTTTGTAAATTTTTCCTCTAAATATCACTAGAAATTCCACACAGAATTTGAAGCAGAGAGGTCTGTTAGTAAAGTAATACAGATTAAGTTCCCCCTTCAGCACTGTGCAAAGGAAAACTTCAGGTGTAGGAATGTACAGGAAAGGGCAGTGTTATACCTCCACAGCATCTTGCAATGAAAATACTGGACCACAAAATGCCATGATAGCTATATTCTGTCCTGTTCCTGAAGGAGGCATTCTTTCTCCTGACTGCAATCAAAAAATTTAGGCACATAATCTTATTCAACGGCCAAGAAAAAAACAAGCAGCAAATACAGCAGAAATGCAACTACAAGAAACTGAAAGATTCCAAGCCAGATTTGGCCTTGTCAGGCTTTGAGCTCTCATGAAAACACAGCTGGAGTTTTAGCACATTTTTTTCCCTTCACTGGTAGGAGCATATTCGTCTCTTGCACAGATGAAAAACTGCAAAAGCAGATGAAATGAAACACAAGCCGTTGCATACTTCATACATTTAGAATCAACTGGCCCAGATACTTTACAGTTGGTTTTAAAATTGATCAATGATTTTGGTGTCAAGGAAAGCCTTACTAATCTGATATTTACAAACTCTCCTCAGAATGAATAAGTTGTTTCCATACAGCTTCATCCAACTCTAATGCTATAAAGATGTATGCCTCAATCCATTTAATTAGTGAGAGACTTCCATATATCTGACTCAGGCTGCTTCCAGTCTTCTCCCATTAGTCCTTTCAGATTCAAATCTTTGAAAAATTCCAGGCGATGACTGCAAAGAGAGGAGAAAAAAAAGTTATAAGTCTTGTAGTATGTGTCTTAATAAAAGGCAGTATTCTCATTAGGTTTAATTAATCTTTATTTTCAGGTTTTCCTGGACAGGAATGCAATTAGCATTTCACATGTTCATTTTCCAAACCTTGAGTTTATAAATAAAAAACACTACTGTGTCTCTGAAAATCTTGTACTGTAAAACACAGGGTAAAATCCTCAGCTACGACCAAAGATATCACACATCATAAGATAAAGCTAACAAAGTGCTCACCTTTTAAACTCCCTCATCTTATGTTGCAGAGCAAGAGCACAGGGATATCCCTGCTTTATGACTTATACACACTCCAATAGAGTAGAAATTTACAATTCTTGTCCAGTTGAAAAATCATATCACAGGGATATCCTTTCCTTACAGAAAAGGGCAAGACTGGCTAGGATAAGAAAGCTAGTAAATATATTTTTTCTGTAAAACCAAAGTCTTGTTGTCCTTTAAACATTATGAATCAGTTCTTGCTAAGAATTTCTCCTTTAGGCTACCAGACAGAAACAATATAAGGAAGACACCAAAGTCAGTTGCTAATTAATACTTACATTAAACAACTGCCAAACAGTAGGCAGGACATCTGACACCACACTAATCATTTTAAAAGGTAAATGGAATTCTCTTGTTAGGAAGTAGTTTGTGAGAGTAAAGACAAACTAAGAGCAATGAAAGTAGAAAGAAACAATCTCTTCACATAATTGCATCTGCTACCAATGCCTGAAAAAGTCAAAGGGTTTTTGGGAAGGGGCACTATAGAAAGAATTCCTTCCTGAAAAATATTGTAGGCATTCTCCAGTTTACCACAGAAAAAGGAAAGTATTTATTTCTTACAGAACACTGATAAAGTGAATGTATTTTATTAGTAATAGCTCAGAATTTTTTTTAATAAACAATTGCAGAAGCTACGTTTTTCTTAGATAAATGCAACAAAAAAAGGGGTGACATCTAAAATTTACCTTACCTGACTGCCATTGTATGTTAAATAACACTGCGTAAGTACTATAGTGTACCCTCTCAAGCTAGTTCATTCATACAAAATGCCCAGAAGTAGACTTTATCAAATCATCTCAGTCTCATAGTCAAAGAAAGTAAACTGGCCATAAGCACAATTTAAAAATCAAGATATTCTAGTCTTTCTATTGATACTTAGTATGTTTTTATTATACTTTTCAGTTTAGTCTGCCTTTTCAAATTTTCCCATAATATGAAGCCATCTGTGGAGGTGAGGTTGTTTAGAACAGTAGGGGAGAAGCAAAAGAGATTTCCTAGAAATGTATCTGGTGAAATTAAGACTAAATGGCATTTCAGGATGTGCTGGAGGCAAAGAAAAAGTAGAACCACCTATCCATGATTTTGCTAAGGAAAGTGATAAAACAGATGCCAATGGTGTTGAACGCATGATTTTCTATGCACCTAGAGGATAACACAGAAACCAAGTACTAATTAGAGCTATCTGCCACAGTGTTTTATACAAAGTACAGTGCCAATGGACCTGGGGCTAGGCAGTATAATTAAAATACTAGTGGCACTCAATCTGAAAACCAGATTACTTTTCCTTAAGTATTCCAAGAATAGTACAAATATATAACATAAGCGCTGATTTTATGCTTACAAATCTGGTTTCTGTCCTTCCTGTAGTTCATGTCGAGGCACAGGATGAAGCGCTTCATATTGTCTCTCTTCTCCTGAGCCATGAATTGCAAATGCATTGAACTTGTTAGTGCATGGTGGAAAATAATTCCAAGGAAGATGAACTTTACCCTCCCATTTGGTTTTCATTCTGGTCACCTCAAACTCTAACGGAAGTTCTTCCTGTTAAAAGGAGGAAAAAAGAAAGGTAGTGTCATCTTCCAATCAACAAGAGGTACGTACAAGCAATTAGGTTTTCTGTACATTATGAATGTACTAGACCACTTACTTTCCATACCCTTCTTTTGCCAGAAAGCAGCAGCAACAAGTGTTGTCCGTGGCTGTCAAAAAAATTCGAGCACAATTTTCTTAAAACGATGCCAAGTTATTAGTGTACTGTTCTGACACAAATATGTACATGTGTACATCCCCCATGTAGGAACAATTTCTGTTTCCAGTCTTCCTCATAAATATAACTTACAAGCATTAGAACTGGAAATGCAAATTAACATTTGTGACTTTTTCAGAGTGTTGTACTTACGGACAAAGTTCAACTTCTAAATACTGTTCAGTTCTGTCACTCAGGAAAAACGCTTCTACAACTGAAAAAAAAAAGGCTGTCAGTATTTTATATTAACTGTTTTGTAATATCCTGAGATCTTCATATGCCACTAAAACAATTCTGCTGTCATGATTTTTGGCGTGTGCCATGCCAGAGCTTGACTAGCTGTGTACCTGCTACCAACAGTCTCCTAACTATCCAAAATGCTGTGCCATAATTGTAACTTCAAGAACTTTTACTTTTAATGCCTATTATCATGAAGAGCTTTATAAATTTTGAATCATATTTTGAGAGCTTCTATTTCTTTAACACCTTCCTATTCCTCAAATAGGCTTTGTAAACGTGATTAAAATAGACATATATTTTAGCTATCTCTCTCTACTTCTTAAAGCAAAGTTAGAACCTATCTTTAGGATTTCCCTTATGTTTACCTACTGAAAATGCTGTTACATATATATGCCACGAAATTATTTTGATATTGAGGTATGTCAAGCCTCTATTATTCAACAAGTTACATCAGTAACCCAGAAACTACGTTTGAGTGGCTATACTACTGACAGGATTAGAAAGAGTCAACCTCATCATTCTTGAAATCAATCCAGTTCACTGGACTCCGTTTCTTTATGGCCACCAAGTGACATGATGTATTTGCTCCTTTTCCCAGTCACTTGCATTGTTGCACTACTATAAAACAACCACTCACATTACAATCAGCAATGTTAGTGATGAAAATCAATTCAACACCTAGAAAAAGAGAATCACTCTTGATCCAGATTGGGGTAGTTTTCAGCTGAATATAGCATGAGGTTTCTAGTTACTTAAGGAGCTGTTTAGGGGTAAGGCAGTGCTTACAACTAAATTATTTCCCAGACTGCTCAGGATGTAACAGAAAGGAAAGTTTTTTACTTTACATTTTAGACTTGAACTTTAAAAGCAGTACTGGGACGGAAGAAACTGAATTAGATGTCATATGCTCACAACCATTAGATCAGTTGGAAAAATTAACCATCACAGACTCTTAAGACCAAGCATATTAACTACAGAGGAACATCAGTGTCTACACAAACCAGATATATTTGCAGCAGAACAGTTACACTTACCCTCGTAGTCCCACAGCCTACTAAAAGGTTTCCCTGGTTCTCCAAGTGGTGCTGGAGGGTCATTAAACAAGGGAGCATTAACTTCCATTAGCAGTCCTGCACCGTCTGACCTCAGCCCAATTGTTACTGGCTCATGGCTCACAGTTAAACCATCCCATGTGTGTCTAATTGTAAATTCCATCTTCATATACTACATAAATGAGAAAGCTCTTTCCACGAGATCTCAGATTCCACTTCAGCACCAACTTTAGTTTGCCTGGTGAGGAAAAAAAAAGCATACTTTCATTCAAAGTCAATCATCAAGTCATGGTTTTAGACATCAGAAGAACTGAAATAGTTTAGCTCTATAAAGCAACTAAATAAAGTTACATGAATGCTTTTCACAGGTTTTTGTACCTGAATGGTTACAAATCACTCTGAAGTCTTACCTAACTTGAGACATTTCAACTATGTACCTATATAAACACTTTCCAAAACCATCAGAAATATTTATCAAGAGAACAGATAAACAAAAAGTCTAGACAACATGATCTTCGATGATTTGGTTATATGAGAAAAATAAATTGAGAAAAACCTTTCATCAGTGTGAGATGCAATAAAATGAAACAATTAGCTAAAGCTTTCCTTCACAGTCACTGCAAACCAGCCAAGCCAAAGGATTTCAAGGAAAACTGCAAGCATATCTTAAACACACTGAATGTTTGCAGAGCAGCAAGAACAGAGAACAGCTCACTCCAACAGCTGTTGTTACTTAGAAATAACTGTACAAACCTTAATAGCTTTAATCTAGTTAATAAGCAAAAGAACCAGAGGAGCCCAGTTTCCAACAAGTTTATGTCCCCTTATCCCTCCCCTCCCTCAGTATTAGGAGTTCCTTCCCCTCTCCACAAAAGTGATCTGTGATTTGTTCCCTTTCCCATCTCCTAGCCATACAAGAAGGGAACTGGCAGCACAGAGCCTGACTGAGAACTACGCACATGCTGTTAAATCCTGTGACCAGAGAAGTGCTAGCTCACTAGATAAGTTGTAACCACATTTCCTTCAGTGGGGAACACTAAATTGGGTTATTTCTCCTCTACCCAGATACCCATTTTCTTGGGACTCACAGAAAGGTAAGCCTAACTTACCACATTCTGCAGGTGTTACCAACAGGTGTAGTACATGAGACAGGATGCAACTACATGCAGCACACTTGCCTATATGCCACAGCCTTGCTCTTATGACTATACATTAACCGTGTCTCACATCCTCTGTTGCAGTCACACCAGCCAATTTGCCCCATCATTGATGTTCCTGATGAAAAGCACCAGGCCTCCTCTCTTTGAGTTCAAGTTGGTAAAATAGCTAGAATGACATTAGGTAGATATACTCACGATCAAAGAGATGATACGACCAAACAAGTGTCACAGATAAGAGAAAATATGAAACAATAGATTTAGTAATTTGACACCTTAATTTAATAAATCCAATAAAAAAGGAAAGTCTAATATTGGACTACCACTTTTGACAAGGTTGTATTTAATTAAACTGAAAACTAATTAAATTCCTGTGTCAGCATTTTAACTATATGATATGCTAGACAAGCATCAGATGTGCTTTCTGCAAGAGACCTGGGATAGCCCTAGAAACTATGAAAGGCTCTACCGTCATTAGTGTTCACTCCAACTCAAGTGGCAAGTCTCCAGAAGCAAGATGACACAAGTTGAAAGAAAACAGTGTACAAAGCATAGGGAGGGAAGACACCCAACAGTGTCCTAACAGCTTTCTTAAACTAGCAGAAGCTGGCTCACAGTCCAGTATTAGTAGTAACTCAGACAAAGCTAAACCATTCACAGTTTAAAACAAAAAGAGAGAACTATTCTAAGCAAGTACAGTGACAACTCTTCTGCAATAATTACAATGTACACCACCAAATAAAAGAGCAGTATGTTAAATAGCAAGTCCCTTTCACAACACAAACAGCTGTTGAAACATATTCAATGGGCTATCTAGCCTTAAACTGATCTAGAAAACTTTAATCCACAGGAAAGGTAGATGAGTGTTGAGTTTTGAATCTTCTAAACTGCAAACACTGACCAGCATGAGCATGAAGTATCCACAGATGGTAAGACCCTTACTAGTGTTTTCTGAAATTAATAGAAATCCTGTAAATGGAGTGCAGATGCCTTATGCATACTTACTGTAAAAAGAAACAAGACAGAATTCCACAAGCACGATCACTTATTCAAAAGAGTAAAGTGTAAGAGTAGATGGGTGCATCTAAGAAAGTTAACAAAGACTTATGAACCCATTTTACACCACACTATTAAATTAGCATTACATGCTTGGAAGTCAACGTTTCCTTCTCTTATTTAGTTTTCACTTTTTGCTAGTATGTTCAGCTATTTGCATTCACTGGTCAATGCAAGTATCTGAAACACCTATTCGAAAATATTGTCAGATTTCAATAGTATTTTAAAATAATATAGCCTTCTAATACAAGTCGTCTGGGAAGATCTTAAAATCCAGGGAGAATAACATGACTAGCTATTACAATTCCTGACTGAAGTAAGCAACATGAAGCTTCTCCTTGTACTCAAGATTTGAAAGGTTGCCTCAGAAAAAGTCAGAACATACCAAGTTTTAAAAAAACAAAAGCAGTGAAATAATAGAACCTGTTAAACTACTTTAGACACTACTGTAACTGTAACATGTAAAATGACAATGAGACATAAGAGGCATCACACATTCCTATCTGCACCTATATGAGAGACAGATGACTTTTGTAAAAACCCTAACTTCTGCAAGGATAGCTTACAGTGTACTGAAATGAACATACTGAAGATTTAGCCCATTGCTGTAAACCAGTATTACTCTTGAATAGAAAAACATGCAATTTTAAAAATAATCATAAAGTAATAAGGAAAACTGTGAAACATTAATTTCATTAGACATCTACCTAGTACTAAGGTTGCTCCATTTACAGGACTGCAGATCTAGATTTTCCAAATTAACGGCCCTTGGTGCAAGTTTTAAGTTTATTACATTGCATGGACTTAGGTAAACTAGCTACTAGCATACTTTTCAATTATAATAAAAACATCAACACATGGCAATGATGTAAAAGCAAAACAGCAATAGGAAACCTTTCATTACTTTTTAACACTACGCCTCAGCCAGCTGTTAATACACTGGAAAGAGATGCAAACGCTAAATTAAGTAGTTTTACATCAAGTTCCTTCTGAGGCATCTAAAAGCAGCCCGGTGGCATGGCCTCAGGCTACCGCGGGCCGACAGCAGCTGGCCGCCACGCTCAGGCCTCGGCCGCACCAGCAAGGAGCGCGAGAGCTGCTGCGGCTGCGGCCGCTGCACCCGCCTCACGCCGCTCCCGACTGAGGGCACTGACCTCTTCCATCCCAAACCCCACCGACCCTGGTAACACGGACAAAACCAAGCAGCAAGTCGCTACACTGGTGTTTTCCTTCATTGCTCTAAGAGGATAGCGGGAAAGTTGGAAATCAAGTAAAAGCAGCTTTTACGGTAGTTAGCGCTTCATTACCGTATATACAATACGGGCACGAGCCCTCAGAGAAATACCCCCAGCTCCTCCACCCGCTCACAGCGGCGGCAGCACTTCCTGAGGCAGGGTTTAACGCGCAAGCGCAAATCTTTAACCCGCAAGTTCCTTAGAGAAGTCTAACAAAGGATTTCTTACTCCTCCAGTCACCCGCTCGCAGGAGACCCGGCACCCCAGCAAGCCCAGCGACTCCAGCCTCCCGCTCCCACCGGCAGCCACCGCGCTGCAGCGCGCATGCGCGCACAGCACCCCCCCCTCTCCCCCCCACCCCCCCCGCCTAGGTTCGCGCGCTCCACGTGACCCGCGCGCCGCCTGGGGCCGAGCGGCGGCGGCCGTTGCTCGTTAGGGACGCGCGGGGCTGAAACGGGGCTAACCGTCGCTGCGGCGCGTGGGTGCCGTTAGTGGCGACCGCCGTGCGTGGCCGCGCCTCCCTCAAGCGGCGGGACAGGGGCTGAGGGGGAGGCTGTGGTTACTGCCCTCGCCCCACCCAGTTGCAGCCGCCCCTTTGCTTAACGGAGGCGGTAGGTGAGGGGGGTGTCTTTGAGGGATTGTCTCCGTCTCTCCCTCGAGTGCCACTTACCCTTCTTCTTGGTCGCCGCTGTGAAGCCCCGCCGGGCACGGAGGGTAGCGAGCACCTGAAGTAACCGGCTTTTCCACGGGTTTTTGCAGGCTTTCCTGAGGGGGAACTCGCTGCGGCGGGGAAGCTTTCCAGTGGAAGGAAATAGGGCCGCGGAGCTCGGCGGTGCGGGAGAGCCAGGTGAGGTGTCTGCGAGCGGTCGGCTTCGAGGGCTGCCCGCCTGCTCCCGGCGCAGCGCGGGCGGCCCGAGCGCTGCCCCGGGGCTGGCTGAACGGCCGGAGCCGAGGCCTGGGCGCTGCCGCTCGGGAGCTGGGCTGTTTCTACAGTGTAGAAGGCCTTTTACTTATGGTTGTAGCAATGAAGATTTCTGGAGCTCTTCTAGTGTTCTTTGTAGTTAATAACGGCATCAAAACTGTTCTTTTTAGTTAGCTGAAGACAAATAATTAAAAGCTGCTAATGAGGGTAATGGTCAAAAACACGTGCATCTTTTGTGGTAATGCCTCTTCAGTTAAGAAATTACCGCATATCATTTTCTTGGCTTACACCTGAAGGGCAAAAAAGCTCTCTTGCCAGTTTCTCAAACTGAAATCAGTATTTTTCGTTATGTGTTAGTTGTTACAATTTTGATAATTTTAACATAAGCTAGATATGATTGAATCAAAGTACACTTTAATTACTAGCAAAATTCTGGTAAAAAGTCTTTCTGTACAGTTTATAATCTTGGAAACAAGTTGATGTGTAGTTCCCAAGAATTTTACTGTCCCTGTCACTAGCTAGTATTGATGGAAAGTTTGATAGCACTGCAGGAAGTAGGACGAGGTTACAGTGCATATAGTGCAATGGCTGTCCGTCAGTAATAAAAATTTCAGTTCATGCTAAACTTTCTGTGACAGCTTTAGGTGGCAAAAGGTGAAAGACCAGCTCTTGATTCCAATGATCTTAGTAGCAGAAAAGCTTGTCTGAGCCAACAGATTCCATCCTGGCTCAAAAGCACATATCTTTATCGAGCTTTGCATGAGTATTTATTGTACTGTGATGTGAACAAATCGTGTATTTTCAAATATTGGTGTTTTGCTTTTTATATGTATTTAATTTGTCTAGCTGTAGCTTCTTCTTTTATAAATCTTTAGGCTCTAAATAGAGCTCAGACTAAATTCACTGTGAAGTGGTAGGAGTTGCCTTTTTTATCAAGGAGTTTAATTCTCTCTTTAAGAAACTTTATACATTTTGAAAGGTGCCAAATGACAAATTTGAAGTTGGCTTGCATGCCAACTGAGACATAAGTTATTTGAGTCCTGCTTTAAGTCTGATATGGATTGATGTTTCTCTTGTTTCATGAATATGAAATCAAAGTTCTCAAATGCTGAATGTGTGTAATATACATTAAAAGAGATTCTCTAAGCATTATTGTATTTAATGTCGTAGTACAAATATTTGTTGTATTAAATATTTAGCTATATGAAAAGGTTCTCAAGATGAAAAGCTAGCCTGGTGCTAATCAGTTATGAATTGAGTTTTACCTGAATGCTTTTTGAAGTATCAGTAGCCAACCCTACAAATAATAATTCCTTCATTGCATTACATAGTTCAATGATAAGAAACTAGATACATAGAACTTTTAACAGAATGTATGTAATGATTCACTGGGGAAAGTGAGTGCATCTGTAGGGTATGTTTAAGATTTGTCTGCTTTTGCAGCTATGGCTTGTTGTGTTTGCAGACTGCTTTGACTAGTGAGGGCAGCTACTTTCCCCTTCCTGTTCCTTGGCATACTTCTACCTCTTTTTTATCATCTTCATCTTTTTCCTATGTTCCATTTTAGAAGAACCATGGGATATATAGTAAAAAATAAGCAAGAAGTTGTTTTAAATCAAAATGTATGCATTACTTTCCTGACTTGCTTTTTCTTCCTCTTCACCCATTCCAATAACAAATGTGTCACACAGATTCTTGTAAAATAGAATACAGTATTTCAGGGGCCTACAGCAATCACCTAGTCCAACTGCCTGACTGCTTCAGGGCTGACCAAAAGTTAAACCATGTTAAGGGCATTGGCCAAATGTCTCTTAAACATGGACAGGCTTGAGGCATTGACCACCTATCTAAGAGGCCTGTTCCAGTGTTTCACTGCCCTCTCAGTAAAGAAAAGCTTCCTTGTGTCCAGTCTAAACCTCCCCTGGCACAGCTTTGAACCATTCCCACACATCCTATTACTGGATCCCAGGGAGAAGAGATCAGAACCTCCCTCTCCATGTCCCCCCCTCAGGAAGCTGTAGAGAGCAAGGAGGTCCCTCCTCAGCTTCCTCTTCTTCAAACTGGACAAATCCAAAGTCTTTAGTGGCACCTATCAGGACCTGCCTTCCAGCACTTTCACCAGATTTGTTGCCCATCTCTGGAGGCATTCATCTTAAATGGTGGGACCCAGAACTGCACACAGTAGTGAAGGTGAGGCCACACCAACACTGAATACAGCAGAATAACCACCTCTGTTGACAGGCTGGTTATACTATGTTGTCGTTAGATAAAAGAACATGCCATGAACAAGTGGAAAGAGCTGTTACTTCTCCCTTTCAACCTTCTGCTGGTTCTTTCATTTGTAGTACAAGTAGGCTCTGAAATCCCAACAGCCAAAGTTAGATGAGTAAGGAAGAGTGATGCCTTAGTTGATGTTCCCAGCTTAGCAGTGTGAAATCCCATTACTCATTATGCTTTGCTTCTTTCAGAAAAAGCAGATAATGACAGACTGCATTTCTTTGTTCTCATTTGGGTTTCTTCTGGGTATACTCGAGTGGTTTATCAGTGAAGCTCTCTTGACCTGAGTTTCTTCAAAGTTTATTGAGAACCGCAAGATTGAATTCCCAACAACAGGTTAATTGTCAGATATCCAGCCAATTGAATTGGACACACAACATGATTTGTTGCACTTGGACCTGGTGAATCATTAAGAATTGTTTGTGGGTTTTCTTGACAGAAACTTAATTTTTAAAATTTCTAAAAGAAAACAGAAGGGATATGAAAGAAATTGAATTAATCGTTATTACTCAGTCTTTGTAGGCTTTATCCAAACTTATTTTCATGAAAATAATTGTGTTAAAGAATTTTATGAAGCACATAGTGTGCCTTCAAAGCACTACATATGTTAAACCTGACGAGCAGCATGTTGTAGTTATGATTCTCAAACTTGGTATTTTTCAGATCAGAGGCTACATATGGCACTTGGATGGTATGAAACAGATGAGATGTTGAGAGCTACTACTGAGCAGGTATGTGAACTCAGGGATGAAAGTAGTGAGAATTTTTGTAACGAGGTTTTGCGACAAACATCTTTGCATACATAGTGCACAGCCCACCTCAATGTGATGTGGCCTTGCATCCATCACACAACTCCATACTTCTTTATTGTTTTTCCAAGCAGCAACAGTAGAATAAAACCATCATGACAGTGAATTCTGGCATTTTTGATGCATTTTCAAAATTTGTCATGCAGAAGAACATGTCCCTGAAAGAATACTTGACTTCTACTTTTGTAGACTTTTTCACTTTTATGGACTTCTCTTTTCTAAGAGATTGGTCTCATGCTGAGATAACTTTTTGTGTTGGGTACCATAAGCCTCTCTGAAAGCTTGTGCAGGAGCTAGGGCATCAGCACTTTCCTGATGCTGAGATGCATGGAAATGAATTTAGCACTTACACAAACTTATGATTGTTCTTTTAACAGCAAGATGGTTCCCCCCTCAGATGCAATTATGCTTTATATCAGAGCATCCCCAGGAAAAAAATAAAATCTTATTTTTTCAAATTGGGCCAGCACTCAAGGATTTTTTTTAACATAAACCTGGAAGTGATCATGTGGGATATTGTGTATAATTACAGTACAGGCAGAACAACAGCTTTGGGTTGCATATAAAAATTTAAAACTACCTGCAGTCATGTGCAAGTATTAATATATTAAGTATACCATTGCAGAAAAATGCCCCTGGTGGTGATGGCATATCAGGATCCAGGATGATCAACCAAAGGTAACTGATGCCAAATTATAAGTGGAAATACTACAAAGTATTCAAAAGAAATTTTCATGTGCTTTTTGAGAGTGTAAATATCCGGGTGAACATGGTCTTATGTACATGTGTTCACAGCTCTGAGGACTTGTGAATGGAGGTATCTAAAAGTGTTCCTGTAGCAGGTTTTTATAGATGCCATTCTTTTTATTCAGTAAATTAAATATATGGTTTTTCTTCCACAATCTGTAAAATAAAGGATGAGAGATGAATTATGGAATTCTCTAGTCCAAATTTGAACATAATAAACAAAAGTGCAGGTAATGTTGTACTGATCTAGGTAATACAGGTAACTGCTGTCAGTTGAGGTCAGGTGGATGTTTTTAAAAATGCTTATTTGACAATCTTCAACTAACAGCTGCATATTAGTAAATGGTTTAATAATCATTGCTACTTCTTGTTATAAAAATAACCTATACTTTCTTGTTAGCTTTTAAGACATTACCACTCTAGACAAATACAGAATTTTCAGAGTATTAC